TATATATATATATATATATATATATATATATATATATATATATATATATATATATATTCATACAAGTGCAATGATAATAAAGGTACAATGGTATAGATAATTTGCTGTTGTAAGAATGACTCTGTCCGTTAAATAAGTTAACATAAGGGCTTAACCAAATGAACTGTAAACAAACTCAATTACACATGGGCTGCTATGTCTTCCTTAAAAATAAATATCGCTGCACTTCCCAATTTTAAATAAACCAGGCTTCGAGTTTATATATGCACAATATGCACTGCCCATTTTGATCGTTTGATAATAAATACTGATAGTTCTAGATCGCCATACTATATAAACCATATCTTTCCGTGTAATCTCTAGATTTAAACTTATCCTATGTACACATATTTGTTCTACTTTACATCTAGACATATACTTATATACTATATCTCTTCCACGATCTTCTGGCCATTTTGCCTTCTTTCATTCGTTGTATTTATTGATGCTCATTATAGTCTCACACCTGGTTCAAACATATGTTTTGATTTCCGAACTACCTTGAGCCCTCCACCTTGAATTTGGCATCACTGTTTCTGTTTCAACAAAAAGTACACGTATTACTAATACGCTATGCTGGACTGCACCTTCATATGACTGTCTAATCTACATAATTTTATGTCCAGTTATATTTTTATACAACCGAAATTGCCCTATTTTAGGAGCTGTGTGCACCTATGAAGAAAAATACGATCCGAAAGACAGAACAGCACATTTGATCTAAAAGTGTAATAAGGGATACGGAGTGAACGCTAACATCTCCAAGTCATACAGCCTCAATCTAATATTTAATGTCTTTGAACCTAGCCTGTATGAACCAGTCAACTTCGTTATGTTTCTTCTGGCCTTGGATGTGATGTCGTTTTTATAAAAGATTATATAAACTGCGTGCGTAATGCAATACTCAAGCAAAAATCTGATCAAGTACACTCTGTGACATCTGCATGAATGAACCGTCTTCTAATTTTATTAATTTTGTAGTGTGGCGTTGAGTCGTGATTGACTATGACCACCACTACAAGAAGGTTGCGTACCAGATATCAGAAGGCGATTGGAGGTTGTAGAGAGAGATATTTGTTGGTGATCTCGTGGTGTCGAAAGAATACTGTGATCGTGCCAAAGAAGTACAAGCGGAATCACTGAGAAAACGCAAGCGCGTGCAAGGTCACAATCAACGGAAGGAAGAATGTCTTCAGTACAGTTAAACAAACAAGTACAGTAAAACAATCCCTGGTACAAGTGGTTATAATAATATTTGTTTCCATTACACCAATCGCGTTCTCTTGATAAAAGTAGGTCACTACAATTTCATTTAACTAACAACCCTATTTGGGAAGCATTTAATATTTAAGACAATGTTCTAACCGGTCGATCACGCCCGTAAAGATAACCTGTATCTGTCCTGGCAGAAATATATATAAATCATAACTCTCATACTTGTGAAGCGAATGTTTAGTTTAGTCTTATAAACGTAACCACTATACTAGCTAATCACAGACGTTTGACTGTGCATTTCACTGGACATTAAATTTCTTTAAAATTTATCGGTAATCTAGTACAATAACCGTTGTCTTCCATCAAAACAGAGACACTTTTGAATGTGTGCAACTTTTTAGTGGCACATTAGGTTTTCAGATTTTATAACTAAAAGTTTGTTCTTACAGTAGGACTACGTAAAGTGTTACTCAAACATCAAGTGAGGTGTCTTAAAATTAATGTGATATGTGCAAACGTATTGCAAGAAAAACTTGTTAGGATGTTAGATAAACCTTAAAATAAGTCGCAAAACATATTCTTTTTGTTTAAGATCGTCTGAATCTGATATTTGAAACATGTTGTTTAATGCAGGCGTGTTCACGCAACTGCATACTCATATTGCAATACCATATCAAAATGATCACGTGACTTTCAACTTAATTAGTTATATTCTGTTGGTCAAATTATGCTCAATCATGTGATTAGTTCAAGTGCTTTATGTGTAAATTCTTACAATATGTCTTCATTTGATTGTCTATCCGTCTAGCGATCTGTTAATTGCATTCGATTCTTATACTGATTGATAAATATTTAATTAATACTGGCTAACTGACACACTGGATAGCCCGAGTTCATTTCAGTATGGTGTATGCTGGACAAAACTGACGTAAGCCTGGATATATTTTACCGTAATACAATCGGTAGGCATTCTTTTTCTAGTGTTATTTTGATTCGACCAAAATCGCTCGTTCCAATTCAAATCTGGTTCAGTTACATAGAGGTTTAATCATGGTGTCATTTCAATGCTAATTTAATATAAGTTCAGTTGTGTTCATTTGAACAACGCCTTTGTCTGTAATACTTTCCTTATCAAGTGGCACTAAATAAGTCAACTCAAAAGTCAGATAGACTACTTTACGCTTTGAAGTGTCAAAGGTAAGTTTGTTGTCATCTGGCCAACTTTGAAGTGGAGTCAGATCATCCTGAAAAGCCAGTATTTCCTCATGGTTGCATATCTATTTTCAAAGCTCCACATCATCAGCAGAAAGTAATAAGTCTGACGGTGCCTGCTGTCGGAGATCGTTTATATAAATCAAGAAAAGAATAGGTCCTAGTACCGAATCCTGGGAGACCCCACTAGTACATTCCATAGCCTGAGAGAAAGTGAAGTTAACCCTGCCCTTGAAATGTTTGTTTTTTAGATATGAAGTGAGACAGTTAATTAGAGGTGATTTGATACCTAATCGCCTGAACTTATTGAGAAGTCAAGGTAAATGATGTCAATCATCCCCTTTCGATCAAGGATGGTTGCCCATCTGTCCATCGCAGTCAGCAGGTTGGTTATACAAGAATTACTCTTCCTGAAACCGTGCTTTTGACGTGAAAAAATGTTTGGGGTAATGAATAGTCGTGTATACCGCCACATATCAGAGACTCTATAATTTTTGAATGCATAGAGAGAAGGGCCATTGGTCGGTAGATTAAAGGTTTGCTGCGTCGACATTCTTTTGAAAATTGGTGTGATGTGAGCCAGCCTCAAAATTTCCGGTAGTTTGCCTCGGCTAAGCGGCTGTGAGAACATTACACTAAGCGGTGTTGCCAGGATTGAAGCTGTTTCCCTCAGTATCGTAGAAAAAACCATACCCGGACCGGGAGAAGTGTCTGTTTTAGGTGCCGCAGTCTTGGTAAAATAAGCCTGCGCTCGGGTTCACTTCAGAAAGTCCTGTGCGGTTGCTGATGAAGTGTTGCGACTTTGTGTCCTGAGTTTTATCACATGATTTATACACCAATCAAAATACGACTTATACAATCTTAGCACTGTGCCAAACCAATGACGTTCGACCGGTATGAACAGCCTAGCGTCCTTATTAGTCCTATGTCCGCCGAGCCCGTCCACTAGAGTCAAGAACACCAATACCAGCTTCCACTATGCGAATCACAAATTTCAAACATACTGTGTTTATATATCAAACGAACAGACCACAGCGCATCATAAAATAAGGAATTACATTTGTACACAATAAAGCCAAAAAGTGACTGTGAACGTGGGAGACAGTATTTAATAAAGTGAGCATAATTTAAAAACAGTAAATCGTATTATAATAAATTATAGATAAAATGAAAGCTTATAATAAGTAGTATATAGATATATACAATCTAGTGACTGAATAGTTATAACATAAGAATATATAGATAATATTAGTCCCTTATTAGGTCTCAGAAGTTACTCGTAATTCAGTTTTCACCAGGATATAACATAAAGCTTTCATCAACATAGTCAGTATGGGTCGGTTGAAATGTCCGAGAGTACTGTTCAGCCAGAAGGTTAGTGGCGTCACCGTCGTTATTAGTTGAGCCGTTAGGACCTGGCATTTGGGAAACTCAGGTTCTTTTCGAAGGGGAGGCTGCATAATGGAATAAGCTTCTCGGATCGGAGACAAATTTATCGATAGGCTTAATCTGATACTGAAGCCTGTCTTCTCTTATCGCCTTTGTGCATATGTTCGTTATATACTTGTATTGTCTGTACACTCCTTTGTTGTTAGGTCGGTTGAATTCTGCCCAACAGTGCTTTTTGGGGCTTTGCGAACGAAGAGTGCGGTTCTTGATGACTGTAGGTTGCTTGTAGATGTTGGGGACCGTTTGAGGAAGGCTCTATTTCAGGAAGTTCGAGCTTCGTATTTAACTCTTCTCAAGGCATCTTGTCATGTTTGTCCTGCAAATTGAGGGGGAGTTCAAGGCTGTCTTTAGGGTTTATGATTATTAGAGAATTATCACGAATCGTTATTGTTTTCACAGGTTTTCGGGTGCGTTCGAGCCGAGCAGCGCTGTCAAGATCGCTCTTCCTGCTTTTATTGAGGGCCTTTGTTTGCCCACTCTTTTGGGACTGTGTTTTTTCAAGTTTGCTGACAACTGATTCCGCAGACCTGTCAGTAAGACAATGATGTTGCTCAGCAAAACTTCACTATCCGTGTTGCACATGACACATACTCACTGATGATTCGACTTCGCATGTTGTAAGCAGACACTACGGGGCCTGTGCGCACTTCGTGGAACCAACTTTTGCGATTGTCGCACTGCATGACAGATGTATCATGAAAACGGGATTCTGGTCGTTTGCATGAATTTTTCGTGACTATAGTGACGTAAATTGTTTTATACGTCCTAATAAAATCCTAGGGCCGTAAAAAACAACACGTTGTGACTAAACTTCCTGTTCGTAAAGCGTGCAATCAATGCAATCACCTGTCAAAAAGATGTTTGTTTTTTAAAAATTTAGAGATCCTCGTTAATATCAAGGTAAGGATCTTAAATTATTGAAAACTAAGTTTTGGTGGCTACAAAAAAATTATCGTATGAATGATGCTGTTCAAGATAGATTTCTTCGTCGCTCGTTGAGAAGATCGATAACATGTTTTCAGCGTCATGTACATAGCTTTCAAAGGTATGCAATCAGCCGATACAGTTTGTTTAAGTTGTTCGACAATCTCTGCCGCAAAACAAAACTGCCAAATGACCTTTGGGGCGTAGCTTTGACATTTGTGGGCAAATTGGGGTACAAGGACATTAGCAAAATTTGAATGTCAGCAAGATGGCGTTGTAGCTCATTAAGATGAAAATTATAAAATGATGTCTGGATCAAACTATTTTTTATCAGTAAGTGCATGGCTTATCAGGAGTATCTTTTATTTCAAAAGAATTCTCATTATTGAAATAATGTCATGCAAAGTTTTTTCATTTACTTCTAATGTGTCACATCCCAACATATTGAAGTGGAAATTTGATGTGTGTATGATGAAATGATCTATGAAATTATTAACATAGAAAATTAGCGGGAATTTACAACTTATATTTTTCTGTCACAAGTAACAACTATAAGTATTAGCTAGTAAATTCTGGAGTTCATTTACAGTCACGCTTTTCAGTGTCTGTGTAGTGAACGAAAACTCAGGGTGGACAACCAGTTAATTGTTTTACGCGAAATTACACTGTGCCTCCGTAAAATATTAAATACATCACTTGCATATCTTTCTTGACTTATCCTTTACGTACTTCACAATTTTTCCAGTACTGTTGTAATTCGAATTACTCTCTGTCTTCTCTTTATTTCAATCCGCTGGTAAGCATTTCACTTCCAATATCTGCCACAAACTTTTTATTTCTGTCCGCATAGGTAGCACACATCACACTTGTGCTTAAATATATATTATTAATATTACTCAATTTGTTTAATGTGGTTGGTGTCTTATAGCAAAGCTTCTACGGGCTGGGCTTTCCGATCCCATGCCCAACCTTCCTCCTTTACCTGGGCTCTCGACCGACAGTAACTTTAAAAGACCTACAGGCGGAGTTTATTACTAATATGTGACAACATAAATTGGGACTTACAATAGTATTTTCTAGAATTGTGCCCTGATTTTATAGAACGGAGGGTACTTCACTACAGTGTAATACTTACACCATCTCTCCTTCCATGATGATGTTCATTGAACTTATGTTCAGTGTCATAGAGTCAACACTTTCGATTTCGTACACCTTTACAATACCTTTTTACTGTGACATCAGGAGGTAATTTTCGTATTTAAGTGTATTGCTTTCTTTCTATCTTGGTGCATAAGCGTTTATTGATTTCTTTAGAAATATGCTAATTAGTTTTTGTCTTTTTTTAATCGATGGATCTATCTTTTCCGTTACAGATTCCTCACCTTAAGCAACTGGCTTTGTTGACCTCCTAAGAGTTTCGTCATTCATAGGGGTTCCTCATGAAAAGAGGTGGTGGACCAAATGAGTTAGACCCCCCACCAAAAGTTTCTAAAACTAGAGAGTCTGTGGATGAAGATGAATGTGTTGGTGATTGGCAAGTATGTTACGCATCAGTTCAATCCAGTATTGATTGGCTATTGTGTAACTCATGTTTTTACGAGTAATCATTATTTTGCAGATAAATGTTAAGTAATGGGGCTAATAGTTGTACATTTCGTTTGCCCTCATTCTTACCAATGAATTGTTGGGAATATTTGTGGATTTCCTCATAAGAGATCTCTGTTTCCATCATCCTCATTTGAATACTAGGCATCTATTTTACTCTTTATTTTTCGTGAAAATATCTTGTCGAGTCAGTTAATGAAGTTTCTGTGATAGAAGTATTAAACACATTAAATATGAATCTGTACCATAATGTGTTGTTTAATTATCCCGTAACGCGCTCATAAATTAAGTAGCTCATTTCTTTTAACTGTCTTTCAGTAATTTTTCTTTGTAAACAGAGGGGTTGGAATTGATATCCTTTCACTACTTTTCATTTCTATAAACTATTTTTGTGTAACATAGGCATCGCTTGGATGTTCATTAGCGGAAAGACTGGAAAAAATCACTACTGTCCAACATTTAACAACACGCCAAGTTAAAAGGTTGTTAAAGGATGTCCTGACTAATGAGGATGTTGTGAGTGCTCTACGTCGGTATATTGACGGTGAATTCAGAGAGCCTGAAACCGGTGAGGTTTCAGCAGCTACTCGAAGGCGTGCTAAATCTTTGGGGTTATTTTCTATCCTCAGTGATCTTGGAGGAAATTCCGATTACCACCTAGAATCTAGAGCTATCACTCGGTAAGTCATATTGTTTTTCACTTTTCTGAGACTTATGTTAAATCGTTCGTATGGTGCTATCAGATTTAATATAGAAGACTTAAACTATCCTCTTTGTATTGGAATACAAACAAACGATTGCTGTATTGGTTGAGCGAGTCTGCACTTTGATATTATCAGTTACAAATATTTATAACGGTTACGTTTGTTATCATTTGAAGGTCTTTAAAGAACATTAATGGGAATGAGAGCACACATCCACCTAACTTAGTTGCTCCACAACAATAATTAGGTTACACAGTAGTCTAATCTCACCATCACAAGCGTTTCGAAAACACTTTTGAAAGATGTGTGGCGCATATATATTTGGTGCCCACTTGTACCAATATTTATGTGTTCAAATAAATAAATAAATACGTAGCTAAGCACTTAGATGTCGAGTGGGTGGGTGCTATCAGCATCGTATTGTTACTCAGATTTCTTTTTCACTTCCGACGTTTTTACCTTGGCTATGGAGATGATATCGTCTTCCTATGAAATGACATAGACATGTAACCAGTTGTCTGTGAAATGTATTTTTTTCGAACTGAGAACGTGCTACGGCTTTGCGTTCTATGATAATTGTCCTGTAAGGAATCCTTGCTTGCAATGGTAGCATCGGGTGATGTTGAGATACCCCAATGTCTATTTGAGTATAATGTAAATGCTGATGATTTATTGAGTTCTGTTACTTTGAGACACCGGCTTCCTTATGGTATATATATAACGGGTTTCATACCAACTACTACTTGTCGTTGCTTGCAATTAGTTGAAACAGTAGACGTATATTCTGCTATTTATACGCCTGGCAATGGATTACTGCAGGGTATTCATTAATAAGTGAGTCGATTTCAAAGCACTTTATTTAATTTTGAAGCTAGTACAACTTCTCAAGTTATGTAATATTTTCACGAAATCAGTAGATCATCATTCTCTATCACTCACTAACTTTAAGAAAAACATTGATCAAACATAATTTGCGTACTGAATTCCTTTACCCGGAGAATAAATTTAGTTCCTAGGTCGTAACGGATTTTATTACTGACAATTTTACATTACGCTTTATTCCTTTTAAATTTTGTTCTCATTATTTTTACCTTATTTTTCTGCTTTCCATATTCGTCAAGATTCTCGGAAACTAGCTAAATCTCAATTTAGTGACTTGTTGGTCTTCTCATTTTGAACTGAGATGGATAAGTATTTCCTCTAAAGACTTTATTTTGTGTCTGTACTCCCTGTGGGACTCCGTGTCACATCATGTTATTATCTAGTTTTGATTAACTGTATTAATCATTTCTATACAAACACATTTAAATCAGTTATTTAGGTCCGTAATTGTCATCACAACTTCTTTGCACTACATTTGGTTGATATTACCCAAGTTCTAGTTAACCAAATCACTTTTTGGATCTAGTTTACTATTCACTTACGTACAGCTAGAAGTCAAAAAGAAATTATTTTAACATTTAAGAACAAAGTATCTTTATTGCTATCACACTCTTGTAAATAGATGTGGTATCAATTCTCCAATTTTTTGTCAATGCTTACATGGAGATAAAATTTCTAATAACTGTGGTACTAATTATTAACTTTCGATAATCTATGCATACTATTATGAACTTGGTATTTGTGTTTATAAAATGAACGCTTTAGTATGTTAATTTCTCAAACCTCCTTTTTTAAGGCAATCAATATTCGGTTTGATGGATATCTTTTTACCTCTTTTCGTTTGTTTCAATTATCTTTCATGTTTGGCATAGATCACACGCCTTATTTTCCAGTAATTATCTATTTACGTTTTCACTAAATATTGAATACTTGAAAATGGCGGATATGTTAAGGAGAATGACCTATGTATTGAGTGTTATGAATTTCACTTATTGCTTTAAGCTTCATATAGTTTATGAATTGCATATCAGTGTTAAAATGTATAATCTAATTTATGCTTCACTTTGGTTTCTATTTTCTTACAAAATCAACACACATAAATGCAGTACTCTTTGCTTTGTTAAGCATCTAGTGTGGTTTTTATCATGCTACTTTGATTTCTTTACTGTCCAACTAACTGAATTAATATCTTAGTAAATACCAGCGTTTTCACCTGTAGCTGTAAATAAAGAGTTTCCAGAGGTTGGAATTCCCAGTTTAGTGAGTATTAGGATTATAGTTTGTTGTTTTTCTTTGTTGGTTTCCATTAAAATATTCCTATACTAACAAAGTCGGTGTATTTGACTCAGTGAATTAAACATGTAATAACAAACCTTATTGATGGCCGATTAATTTCTTGTGTAATGGTTTTATTTATCTGTCTATTTTGAATAAATTCTTCAGATCACTTACTCGTCGTATTGAAGAGTCATTGCAAAATCAGTTTCCACATTCTACCACACCCGAAAAAGAAGCACCATGCACCATTCTTGATATGGAATTCCCTGACGAAGATGATGGCAACGGAAAAAATATAGGGAACGATTTAGATATTTCATTGACTGATAGTGATTACCAACCAAACGATGGAGATTACAAAATTTTAAGACGTGATCAAGTGCTAGATTTTACCGAAGCCTCCAAACATAATTCCTGTGTTACAGATGTAGAAAATGAAAGTTGTCTAAATGGTAGTAGAAGTAGCACTGAGAGTGATTCACAAATAGATCTTGACTCTTGTGATGACTGCATTCAACCTAACAATATCGATAATTCTGTTTTCTGTGGAAACGATAATAATTTAGATATACGAACTTCCCGTCTCACTCGTTCAAAAGCTAAATCACTCAAGAGTTTATCTGAATTAAGAAACGGTGTTTCTTTTGAAAAGCATGAAAATTCTAACTCCAGCGTATCATTTCGACCGGACGATGCTGTTGAATTTTCGCTTCCTGGTAGTTCTCATTGTTATCCTGATGCAGAAGAGGGTGAAGAAGAAGAAGAAGAAGAGTTGAACGCAACAGAGGACATAACAAATAAAAATTACAGTACAACAACAAATAAAGATGTAGATATTGAAGATTCAGATAACGATGTATATACTCAATTTCTTCGTTCGCTGTTCACTTCCGCTTCCAATTCAGCGAACTGTACGCCTAACAAAGTGTGTTAAAAGTTTTAGTATTGGTATAAAGTTCCTTGTGCAATTATTTTTGAATCTTTGTATTTTTTCTAAATATTTTATCTGTTCTGTATGGTTGTGATAACCTATATTATGGAGATTCGATGTGGTATTATAAAGTGATTAATATCAAGTCATAGCTGTTTACTTAAGTCTTTGGATCCCCAAACAGCTTCATGAGTTAAAACGCTTATGTATGCAACCTTGGTCAATAGCTTTCTGTATTTGTTATGAATTTAAGTTGCAGTCGATTTTTACCCTGTGCTAATTGTTGTGTCCTTGACTGGAAAATTAGAGAGCAGCGTACTTATCGATCGACTACAGTGACACGTAAACACGAACGGACGGCCTAGAGTCTCGATTGGTCTCGCTTCCCTGTCTAGCCCAGTCAGTTGAGTCCAGAACACAAGTCACAGCCTCGGAGATATGAATCATTATATTTCAGACATTGTTTATATTCCAATCAAGCATACCACATCGTACCATAAAATAGAAAACAACATTTTGTACAATATTCAACAAGTGAACAGATACCGACCAATAAGGAAATGTCCATTTAAAGTCCAAAGACACCATTATTTATTTATTTATTTGAACACATGAATATTGGTACAAGGGAGCGCCAATATATATGCGCCACACAAAACAATGAGAATTCGAAGAGAAGTAGAAAAAAAAACTAAGGAGCGCAAAAGAAAAAGAGAACAGTAACGAAGAGATTGGAGTAAGGTAGTGTGGTAGTAACGACGGAACGAAAAGGTACAATCAGAAGAAATCTTTCAGGTAAAGGAGACACAACCACTTTTTATGAAGAAAGTAAAAGAAGGTTACAGCAGGATCGCCACTGGCTTCTATTCTGAGCCATATCTGATAACGTCTCTAGCCACTGTGTAGCACCATCTCTCAGACCCCAACCAGGGAGTCGTGAAGGACCAACAGAAGCCAGTCCTTTGCAGCTTTTTTTCATGCCACGACACCATGTCATGCACTGACCACCTCTCCGCTTCTTCCAACCAGTCACAGAGTCGGCAAATAATGCACGACGTGGAATTCTCTGGGACGACATTCGGAGAACATGTCCAAGCCACCGAAGTCGGTGCTTCAAGATGGTGACACCAATTGAATTATCATCTCTGTGCCCGAACACACGATGCCGAACCTCTGCATTACTGACATGGTGCTGCCACTGAATGTCAGCAATCCTTCGGAGACAGCTATGATCGAACACAGAGTCGTCTAACGTCCTCAACTCGGAGAGGCCAGGTTTCACAAGCATAGAGCAAAACTGCTCTCACCGACGCGTTGTAGATCCGGCCTTTTACAGCCAGACTAACATCACGAAGGCGCCAAAGGTGGCCCAGATTGGCAAAAGCCGCTCTGGCTTTCACTATACGTGCATTGATCTCATCACTCACACCCCCACCAGCACTTATGCAGATACCTAGATACACGAACTTCTCAACTACGTCTATCTGCTCACCATCCAGGGTGAGTACAGGATTGGAATCCTGCCAGTCTTGTAGAAGTACTTTGCACTTCGAAGGTGCAAAGCACATACCATACCTACGGACACTGATTGCCAACTGATTAAGTGCGGATTGCATGCCTTGGGCATTATCGCACAGTAAGACAATATCGTCCGCATACTCAAGGTCGAGAAGTCTTTCTCCAGGTAACAGATCCACACCACCATTACTTACATTCATCAGAGCTGTTTCCAGAATGTCATCGATGGCAAAGTTGAAGAGGAATGGTGAGATTGGGCAACCCTGCCTAACCCCACTGCTCGAATGGAACAATGGAGAGAGGTGGTTGTATGCCCTCACTCTGCCTGAGGTGTTTTTATATAGGGCTTTCAGGATGTTAATAAACTTCTCAGGCACACCCTTCTTCAATAGACAATCCCAGAGAACAGTCCTATCCAACGAATCGAAGGCAGCCCTGATGTCAAGAAACACTACGATTGTTGGCCTTTGAAAAGTATGGCGGTGTTCTAACATTTGGCGGAGGGTGAAGATATGATCAATACATCCTCGACCAGAACGAAACCCAGCCTGCTCCTCGCGAGTCAATCTTTCTCGGGTTTTGAACAACCTACGAAGAATGACGGAAGCCAATAGCTTGGACGCAATCGGAAGTAAACTTATCCCCCGGTAGTTGTTACAGGAACGACGTGAACCCTTTTTAAAGATAGGGACAGCTATCGACTCATTCCATGACGTTGGTACACTCTCTAGTTCCCAAACCTTTGTAAACAACGTCGTCAATTCCTTAGTCAAAAAGTCACCACTATCTTTAAAAAGAGCCGGAGGTAAGTCATCTGGGCCAGGTGATTTGTAACGCTTCAAGAGTTTGAGTTCCCTGCGGACTTCCTCATTTGGTGGATCAGTCGTCACCGGCCATGGAGGGCAGGACAGTCTGACCGATGTTGCCGGAGCAGCAGGCCAGTTGAACTGCCCTTCGAAAAATTCTGACCATCGTCCAAGACGTCGATGGATGTTAGTGATTGGCATCCCATCATCCTCGCAGATTGTTTCACTCACACCAGATTTCTTGCTGCCAGTGGCTCGGATGTGCTGGAAGAGCTTCCGGTAGTTACCAGATGCAGCTGCTGCTTCCAGCTCATTAGCACGCTCCGACCACCAGGCTTCTCGGTCCTTACGCAAGCTTTGCCCAATTTCCTTACGTAACATCCTTCGTTTATGGTCAAACTCACGGTCACCCGGAGTAGACCGACGGGCTTCAATGAGTTGTAAGGAACCTGGAGAAACCCAGTGCTTAAAAGCGGGACGTTTCGTAAACCCACAACTGACTGTTCCCGCCATTTTCATGGCGTCATGCAATTGCAACCAATGCTCATCTATACTTTTCGGTGGAGTGGTAGCTAGCCTAGAGGCTAGCTCGGTTCGATACTTACTTGCAACAGAAGTTGCAACCAGCTTGCTAACATCAATCTTTTGGTAGTGGTCACTTCGTTGTCCACTGAAAAGTAAGGCAAGATTGGCGCAGACCAAGGCATGATCAGAGTCCAGATAGGTACTCTAGAAGGAGCGGCAGTCTTGTACACAACCACGCCAACGGTAGCTGATCGCGATGTGATCAATTTGAGTCCAGGCTTGAGATGTAGAGGGGGGACGCCAGGTGGCACATCGGCGATGACTGTGTCGAAAGTTAGTGCTAGCCAGAAACAGGTTGTGGTCTGTGCAAAGTTGCAGTAGACGGTCCCCGTTATCCGACCTGCGACCAACGAGTCCCCATCGGCCACCTAAACGACTCTCTTCTGTGCCTAGACGCCGGACCTGAGCATTCAAGTCTCCGGCTAGTACTACAATATCTGTCGAACGCACTTTCTGGAGAAGAACTGATAACTGGTGGTAAAACTCATCCTTGATTGCATCCGGGCTGCAATCTGTCGGGGCATAGGCGGAGATGACGAAAAGACGTCGTTTCTCACACCGATTTCTTCTCACTTTTATGGAGCTTTCTAATCTAACAGCACATAAACGACTGTTAATGGGGATCCAATCGACTAGTGCTGCCTCAGCTCTAGCGCTTAGTGCGAAACCAACGCCAGCAAGACCAGACGAAGATGCCACAGGGTCCCCGGATAAGCGCACGTAAAACAAGCTTTTCGAAGCGACAGATGGGGATCGAATTTGTAGTACTTCGCCAGAGTCTTGAATACGGGTCTCGGATAGACAACAAACATCAATATTAAGACTTTCCAAAGACATAGCCAGCCCTGTCTGTTGTCCGACCTGCATAAATGTGCGAACGTTGAAGGCAGCCAGTTTGAATGGTGCACGTAGTTTCAGAAAAACTGCTTCAGTCCTCGTATTCGGTGGTAACATACAATTTTCAACCGGATAGTGACTCGAGAACGTTTAGATACAGTCGAATTTCCACCAAAGACGAGCCGCTGTATAAGTATAAAAGAGGGTGAATAATGTGGATAATAATAATAATAATAATGACAATAATAGTAGTAATAATAATAATAGTATTAATAATGACAATGATTGTAATGATAATAATCTGAATCAATTGTTTGTTTTTCAAAGCGAGAAAGGTAATTTCCATAGGCATAAAGAGTTCATCAATTTGTGTGTGGGCTGTAATACTGCCCGGGTGCCCAAACCGAAGCAGGTAGTTATCTTAGGGGGCCACTCCCCGAGCCTTTGACCTAAAGGTCTGGCCCACAAGGCAGTGGAGCATCGTAAGGAGATGCAGTCCCATGGTAGCCGGTGACCAACGATTGGTTCATACGTCATTTGTTCCCACAGGATACTGGAGCCCATGTGCACCATTGATTTGGAATCCGGTTAAAGCGCCGGACATTCTCATTTTCGTAAACAACACCCCCGCCACGAGAAGGCAATGAGTAGGACTTCCCTGGCAGAAGCCACCATTGGACTTAACATGATAAGTATTGGTCTATTCCTCCGCATCCACAACAGTATTTCAACTTAATCGTGGCTACTACCGCTATTTGTCGTATTCAGAAGTTTTCAATCCGTTGACCTTATGTATAGGCTCTCTCTCAGCTTTCTATTTCTTAATCACAAACAATAGCGTACTTTTTAATAAGATAGCTTCTTGTCATCTAACAACATGCAAATGTCACTTAGAGATAGATTTTTTATAGTACGTAAATAACAAGTGAATGATAAAATGTTTAACTGACACCTTGATAGTATTTTGACCTAGTGAGGATGAAACTAGTGACTTAGTTATTCATTTCGGTACTATCTATGACTACAGGATATCCGAAATTTCAACGAAGCTTAGACATTCTTTTGACTGTCTGCAATCCAAAATTAAGTTGAGTACACAACAGTATTCGGTTACGTAGCAATATCACCTCTATCGATATAACTATTGACCTTGTGACTAGTTAATGTGGTCATAATATATTACGAATCGATCGGTTATATTGTGTTTAGTCCAATCCTCTTACAAGTGGTCATTCTAGAACTCAAATAACTTAGCAGTGATGACTATTATGATGTTTGTTGTAAGTTAGAAAATCCAGGGTATTAATTTGACGAAGTGTGTAGATATACTTTGGTCGGTGACAATCAAAAACATGATTCAGAGCTTATTGACGGTTTCACTGAATCATATGTAATTATTATTTCCAGAATATATATATATATATATATATATATTTGTAAACGATCAAATCCACTCTAGGCTTAGAAACCTATAATAGTAATAATAGGCTGTCAGCTGTAAGTGACTGGTTATATGTGGAAAAATAGTTTGTGAAAAATAACACTGCAAAGTCTTTTGTACTTTTAATCTCGTGTGAGTTTAACTGTAGTTTTTAGTGGTATATAGTTTAATCATTCTCAAAAGTCACAGAATGACGTTTTCTGCGTAAAGCATACTGTTAATGAAATTTAAGTTGAGCATCTTCAAATCCATCAGTTATAGATTATCACCACCTAAATGAATTTTCATAGCTTTTAAATCACTAACTGATCTTAGTTAAACTACCACTGAAAAGCTGTAAATATTTGAAGTATTTATATGTACTACTGAAAATTGCTAGTCAATGTAAAACTGTCAAGTTAGATATAATTATACGCTTAACATAAACATTGAAATCCACCATTTCGTTTTAGATTTAACTGTAACTTGCTTTTGCACTTTCTTGATGAATGCATTACTAAAATAATCCTGATTTAAAGTTGGTTAGCAAACGGTGTTCCAATGTTGAATACTAAGGTTTTATTCTTGTAATAAACTGCTGCATAACTGTTCAATTTTACCTTACTTTTCAGTCAAATCCAGGAATAAATGCTCCAGTTAAAGCGTCTACAATCTGTGAAAAACTCTTAGGCGATGAACCAAACAAAAACAACAGATCCCAACCATCAAATGGACATCATTCTGAAATGACATCGCGGCCAATATCAAGGCTTGTAAATGATATCAATGACGATGAAGACGATGACGATCCAGAATTTGACGTTATGGCAGAGTTAGACGATGTTGATAGGGAGGATTTTTTCTATGAATTACGAGACGATCGCGCTGTTCGAGTATCTAAAATGGAAGCCAAGGTTCGATGTTTTTTAAGTACACCGTCTCTATATTATAATTTAATCTTCAGTTTTATTGGTATAAAAATGTTATTAAATAATGGTTTGATTGATGAAGTAGTCTTCAATGCTATCGTAAATTGCTCTATGTGAATGCTTTGCACTGTTAAATAATTTCATACTATCTAACTCAAATATAATCGAAATTTATGTTAAAATGTATTTGATGTACAGATCACAGATTATATAATCTATCCAATTTACAATATACGGCATATTAATGTTTTTGTTTAGCAAGTGGAGTGAAAAACTCATCTTAAAAGTTAACTTCTTACTTCCAGGTCTAATTGAATTGTCGTTTAAAAACGATATTACTATTTAAACAGACTCACTAAAATGTTTTGTTGGATGGATTCTATTATGCATTGAAACAGGTATGCTTAGAATGTCAGATACGTTTGTAGGGTCACTTATTTTGACTGTGAATATATGTATTAACAAAAGCAATTATACTGTGTTGAATCGTTCACACCAGCAATCGATATTCAGACTCTTATAAATAAACATCAAGAACCTAAACCATTAAGTAATAGTTCATGTATTGATTAACTCACTTCACAATTTGATTCAGTACCTCAATGATAGGCATCCATATTGATCAGCGCTACATCGTCATTCTTCATTTTAAACGCTTAAGACATCAAAATTATTAGATTCTCATGCAGAATACTACATTCTCTATGTTGAAGTTCAGAAGGCGATTTAATCAATCCAGTTTGATCCAACTAATCGCATTGTACATCCAGCTGATGATTCCCAAATGAGACGAAACGCGTGTCCTAGATTCCACTGCTAGCCACCATCCATCTTTGCTTAATATACGAAAAAATAGCTAGCTATCACAAAACTTACTGAATGGTTTTACAGTGCATTTTTCAAGCTCGTTAGAATTTTAATCGAGTTTTAAGTTTAAATTATTATTTATATCTGTTCAGAATTTACATGAAGATTTACGTGAACTGTTCAGTTCAGAAGAAGGACATGAAAATCGTACACATCAATCCAAAACACCTTCATTCCTGGCAATGAAAGCTTATGGCCAACGTTTGTTTCATATGGATCGCAATACATTTCGAAATAGTAGTCAAATAAATGAGTTTAACAATCCACAACATATTCAATCTCCTGCACCCAATGAGATTTTTCATAAGACTACAGATACTCCGGTTAATCCAACTGTAACACGGTGTCGTATCACGTTAGTCATAGCATTTTCATCCCGTCTATTTCCTCTCATACTGAACTGAATTTTAAGACTGTGTATTTTGTGCTTCATTATTTCTGATATTTATTACCATTCGAGTAAAATTTGATTGTATCTTAGGCAGTTACACAACAGAACCTATGTAGGATTATCTTTGGAGCTTGATCTATAAAAGTCAAATGTGATCTCTTCATCATAGTTGACCTTTTCTAAAAAATGAGCATATTAGTCAGTCTGGTGATCCTAGTGAGATTTGTCTAACATATTTTAAGGTTTCAAAACAAGAAAATTCCTGTGTGACAGGTGGATTTCAGTCCTGGTGTAGTTATCTGATTTTAGGATATTCTACATAGTCTGTCAGCTTTCAGCCTGTAGTTCATCGGTTGTGAGGTCTTGTGTAAAGTTTGTGGCAAATATACTATTACACAAAGAGCTCTTTATGTTCAGCTTAAAAATAATAAGTGAAATAGTTGCTAAATACGTCAAGGTCCCATCGTATCATCCCAAATATCTCGATGGTAACGTTTCAGACTATGAAATTGAGTGGTATACGCTTGAATCTACCAGGGAACATCAGTCACCTCAAGGTTGCAGGTGCATACCTTGTTGATGCGTCCTAATTATCATGTAACCCAGGTCCAGGGTTTCTTGTCGGCTACCTTCAATTGTCGGTAGTGCCTGATTAAAATGATCATTTTCTCAACTGTACTAAACATTTTCGTTTAAAGTATTTTTAATCGCTTCAATATTATATAAGGCTTAATAGCCTGAACTAAAAGTAAATGGTTATCATAAATATCTGTTCGCACTATATATAAACGATTAAATGGTGTCATGTGTGGTGAAAACTAGTCATAACTATAATTATCGTCTCATGAGTGGTATATAAACAATAATATCGACAAAGGAATGAAATCAAAGATTTTTTTAAAAAACTACTGTAAGAAATTGAGGTGAGCAGTTCTCGTTTTATCTACATGATTTGATATTTTTTTGTCTATCATAAGAGTTGCATTGGCACACAATACAAATGAATATAAGGTTTTATAAATTTCTCATTTCAAATTATGAATATAGTTTTATTTAGTAACTAATCACATGTTTTCGTATTCGGCTTTAAACTTCTTGTCCAAGAAGCAATCAAGTGGGTTGCCAAAACTAAAGTAGGTGGCAGGGCAAGATCAGAACCTACGGCGTACCAGTTGAAAACAAAGTGCTATTAGAAGTGTTAATATATTTTTTTATTTTATGAAACAGATACTTTTGACTTAATTTTCCATTTTTATAAGAAATAAGTTTCATTATTGTCATTATGATATCGTCTTGTTTGTAATTCGTATTTCTTTTTTGTAGCCTTACTGAGACAGAACTGGTTCGATTAGAACGTCAATTAGTAATGCATATTCAATTGTTAACTACCAATTTCTTATTAACATATGATTTTCCTGATATGCATGAATATGTTACCCGACCATGTGCTACTCTTCTCAAAACTTTAATTGCTAAACGTCAAGCTTTTGATTTAGTTGCACTTCAACAAAATATTCCCGATAAATATCCTGTTACAAGCTTCTATTGGTGTTGTCCTACTTTGGAAATGGCTGTTGATTTGATTTCCGATTATGCTGGATTGTCTATGCTTCCACGTTTACCATGGAATCCGTATAAACGAGGAGTAGGAAATAGTCTTACTAAGTCGCAATCATTCGCCTTGCCTATCCCATATTGTTTATTACGTATAATGACTAACAGTCCTATTTGGTCTTATGCGTGTTTAATGCCTACTGTCTTGGGACCACATCCGAAAAGTCATGTCCGATTAATTTTTCATCCATCTGAAGATGCTTTAATGGTGATGGGATTGGCAGACTTTTCCGGTGCATTAAGTCGAACTCGTAAATCTCTCGAACCTAAAACTCTTAATTATCACCACCAATCTAGAAGTCGTGGATCTAAGTGTAAACAACCTTGTCGTTACATTGCATATCGTTTAATCGGTAGGCATATACTTCCGTATCGTACACTATTGCAGTTACGCTCTCGTCGTTGGAATCTGTTGGCTAATCGGGACAGTATAGATAATGCAGGGGACTCCAAACATGTACCAGTTGCTACTCGTCGTCTACTTCAACTCTACACTGAGTTAAGTCAACCAGGGGAAGTGGACCTAAAAAGAATTCAACAGTATGCTAATGAAATGACTACACTTGCTGCTCCTTATGGTCTTCCACTAATTGTTGAATGTTTAACTGATAAGAATTCTAAAGATTTGTTTACTTTTGAAGGGCTTCCCACCGATGTAGGTTATGAGCATGTTTTAAATTCTAACTATCGTAATGAAAATGCAAAACGTAGATTGGATGTATTAACTGAGTTCATAGAAAATGCCGAGTGTTTTTGGAGGTCACAGATTGGAAAAACGCACTCTATAGAAATGAAAACAACAAATTCAACAGATGTAGAAGGTGAATCCATAGTCAAATTAGAACCACCAGTTGAATGTGATGTGCTTGGTCCGAATTATTTACCTGCTATCCCAGTGGATCTCAATCCTGACGGGTAGGTTTTCTCTTCGACATAATATTTTTAAAGTTTCATAGTTATCATAAGAATTTATAGTACATAATATTGTGGTGGGTTCCCCTCCCAATTTATTCCAACTGGGTATCGATAGAACAGACATTGTTATGTTGATATGATTGAAAAATATGTAGCTCAAGATATGGATTTCTGAAATCCTATGTTCTCTCAGGTATATGATTTAATCTTGAAGCTTTTATTATATTTTTTGAACAATATCGTCAATATATTATACTACAAAAAAGTATCGCGACTAAACTGTCCAACTGAAAAAATGCAACATCTTCCACTGGTGGTAGTAAACTGATATATCTTCACAAGTTTCTGAAATCGTCATTTTATTGATTAATTATTTCAACTTATTAATAGTCGACTGTAGTTAAAATTTACACGATACCTCTCCGAGTCCACTTAAATATGATATGGTGTAACAACTGGTTAATTACTGGATTGAAAAAACGCGTCCCATTGACCTAGTTGGTTGTGAGATATTCATTTGAGGATGTTTTTAGTTAACTATAAAAGCTTAAAGTTGATTTAATGTAAAGGAGAACAAAACGACTAACAAAGTAACGTGAAACTCTGTTCAACTAAATAAAACATCTGGAGGTTGGTGAATATCTAATGAGTTCACTTCTTGAAATGTGCAAGTGGTTTGGCCTCCCTTTGAAAACACTTCCATTCCACTTTGCATTTAAAGTGTTTGAAACAAACAGTTCATTGGATACTCATAGCACACTTTTACTAGTAGAAGATACTTAATACAAGATCAATGATGCATATGGTATCCAGGTTCTTGTTGGAAGAAATGGCGTATGAACTCATTCTCATGATCAGCGATATTTTAACAATTCATATTCTGATGCAGCTCAACTACTTTACGGATTAGACCTCTTAGTTAGAGTTATTCATCTGAGAAACCAACGTGCTCCAATTTGACTGGCTGTCCGATATCGCGTTACAGAAACACCAATCAGATTCCTCGAGTCGAGGCTAAGCTCTTGCTGGTTCACAGTCCCCTACCTCCTCTTTGTCCTTCCCTTGAGTCCAGAAATCAATAATCAGCCCCCGCTGTATTTGTATTTCAAGCAGACATGGTTTATACACAAATAGACCAGATCACATCACACCATGAAATAGAAAACAATTACACAGAATCAAGCCAAAAAGGAGCTGCCAATAGATGAAGAATAATCAATCAGACTACAGTAGTTGATAGGTTAATCGGAAGCTTGTGATGGAAGATATATATAATACAAGTGAGTTTCTTTATCTATCCAAGTTCACGAAATCTGATCATATCACAATTTCAGATATCTATCTAACTTTTTTCCACCTAACAAGTTGGTAATTTCTGGTGCTGTAACCTTTTTAAACTGTCATGAGTTGTCGAATGGTTGTTAGCATTAATATCAAAGTTTATTTGAATATTTATATGCCGAAAAGAAAACATTCTAATTGCAAATATTATGCATGGTGCTATTGTGTAACGATATTCATTTATGTGTCTTATTGATTTATCATTTATTAATCTAGTCTCTGACATGGTTAAAGTTCAGAATATCCATTATTTCGTATGTCAGCTACACTGGTCTAGTATAGTGCTGTCTTATTCTTCCTAATCCACATTTCATTTTCCTGTATTGGTATTTTTTTATTGCTCATTCAGTACCGTAGTTCTCAGCAAAACCAGTGAACCTGCTCTAGTTGAAGTTTTTAAAGTGTCTGATGATTCGGAGTCAATCCATGATTCAAATAATCACTCTGAAAATCCAGTTAATAATTTATCAAATCAAGAAACACAAAAATATCGAACTGTTCAAACTAAAAAATCACATCATATCGAATTTATCCTAGCCCGGATAAACAAACAAAAGTCATATAAACTTTCAGATGATGATAAGGTAGAACCACCAGCCAGTGCTGAAAATCATGATATATCAGATGGTATTGTTGCACCGTCCTCTGTTGAATGCATTTTAAATGATCAGCAGCTTGAGGAAATGCCAAATATTTTGGAGTCTTACTGGAGTCATACAGGTAATGATGCATTAGATGTTTGTCAAAAAGTAGCAGATGCTCTAGTGAACTTATTTCACTTTGGTTTTGATAAATTTTGTGCTGCCCGTGGAGACGCTAATCTTGGACCTAGAAAGTTTTGCCATATGTTGAAGTCATCAGTGTTAAATCCTCATATTCCTAGTGCAGATGCAAGTTCTGTATGTTCAAACAACTTTCAATCTGTTTTGGATTCGTCAATTTTTATTGCTGATGAGTGTCAGAGTCAAGCTGCAGGGATCTTCCCAAGTGCATGTCTTATGACATCCAGTCGTTTTGTTGCAAGATGTCGGGCACGTGGTGATGCTAACTCATCTGACTTACTGACTCTACCGTCTTCTATCATAACTCATACACAGGCAATAACGGATGAGATGGATGTGAGACGAGCACGTTCACTACTAGATCGATGTCGAACCTATTTAGCTCCAGGTGATTACAAAAATATGATGATTAACTTATCCAACTTAAGTCAAGCTATTCAGACTCCTAGATTAATCACCAGTAATCATGAACAGTCAGACAAAACTGAAGTATTACTTTCTCTTGCATGTGTGTTAAATTGTTTGAAAAAACATTTATCTTTGTGGGAGGATTTTGTTTGCCTTCTTACTCCATCACAAGCCCGTAGTCTGGGTCTGCTATCTACATATTTCAATCTGGCACGGATCAACCGAGTGCAAAGAGTTTTACAAGATATTGTTCCCCGTGATAGGAGATTTTGGAGGCGTCTTCGTAATTTGGCAGATAGCTGCAGCATTGAGGCACGTCATATTCCAGTCAAAAAGAAGTTTTATACAGGTGTAAGAGATAATTCTGCTCATGATCCTTCAAATGCAGATAAACAAAACCTCCATGATTGCAGCGAAAGAGCAACTAATGGGACTCGAAACATTCGGAAATCATCTGTGTTACAACAGGGTCAAAGTTCAGGTACAATCTTAAGTAAAACCCAAACCAAATCCCGCGTTAGAGGTTTGCGACATCGAAATATGCATGATGCATTCTCCAAAGCTTGGTCAGTTCTGGAGAGTAGTTGGCGCAACCGTCCTGTTCTCTTATCACGTATCGCCAGTCTTATTAATACTAGACATAAGCCATATGTCGGTTTTGAACAGGTTAGTGACGTCATTTTGTATAAATAATATCTACTTGTCATTATTAGTTTAATCAAACTCCCCTTCCATTGGTATATATATATATATATATATATATATATATATATATATATATATATATATATTACCCAATATAGAGGTATATTGTTTAAAACACTGTTTCTTGAGGTCTGACACTACCAAACAGGTAGGTAGGGTATAAGCAGGGTTAGGATTTCGTCCTTCTCAACAGTATATTATTCCTATACAAAACAGAAGGACTACTAAAAGGCACCTTCTGACTGATTGTGAACCGAATATAGTGTTGGTTAGAAGCATTAATTCGCGATACGTTAATATACGCTAGTCGTTTATTTGATCGAAGTTCAGAGTCTGTTACCAGTGGTCTCGATTTGGAAGCTGTGTGAATTTCCACATTATTCAGTAAAATACTAAACAATAATGTGAATATTTTTTTCAGAGTTTTGAAGAATCAGATGTACTTGCTCGTCATCCTGTAGGGAACTCAACTTATCCCGAGAATTTAAATCAAAATGCAGGCATTTCAAGCAACAGATACATCCCTTCTCCAATCAACGCCCTTTCTCCTCAGTTACGATCCTTTCTTTCGGAAGGATGGGAAGTATGCACTGACCTTGCTTCAACAGCTCACAATCGAAATAACTCGTTAGGTACACTCTGGGCTCGTAGACAATGTCCTTGCCGATGTCATCCTAGTGCATCATCAAACAGTGTTCCAATAACAAACCAATCTGGAAAACCTATTAAAAAGGTTGACAGTCTTGGTTTAAGACACTGCATTTCTTGCAGTTTGAGAGTAAGTCCACTTTTATTCCCAGGAGTTACTCACCTAGTTGAATTATGACAATATCTTTCAGGTTTTGTAGGCATACTATGTTTTTTTGTCTTATGCAGGACGACACGAGTCCTGAAGTAAGACCATCTTTCCATATGAAGTCTCCGTCCATACGTTAATTAATGCGAATGGGATTGAGCCGAAATAAGTCTTACCATTCGATCGAGAAACCAGTTTTTCGTTCTGCTGTAGGCTGTGAATGGTAAGGAGGTGAGAGATGAAGCGGATCTCAGAACCAAATATGTAGACGCATAATATACTGACAGCCTTGAATTAGTCATTAAGATAACTTCTTATGTATTCTGCGCGAAATCTATGGTTCAGTGATCGATAATTTGTATGTTATAACTAACTAAATGAAAGTTAACAATAAGTGATTCTTAAAACGTCCGGAATCAATAAAAATGCATATTACGCAACCAGAATGTCAATTTAGGACGGTTCTAAAACTAAATGACAAAAAAACACCTACTTCTAAGGCAGATTGTATGTTAAAGTACTTAATGGAATTCAACATGTAATCAAGAGCGTTTAGTGAAATTAGATAATATTCTCCCTTTTTAATTCTTCCTCTAAATCTCAATCCAAGGGTTTCTTCAGTTTGCAAACAGAAGAGTGGTAAAGCATTGGATTATAATTGTTGGTAATTCGTGATGGAAACTCTACCTAACCCTAACCTTTTTGCATTGTATCTGGTGTCATTTAATGACGAAAACAACCAGCACGACAGCGGTGCTGCCTTCTCACAAGGAGGGGTGGGGTTAGGAATGGTCGACCCTAAGAATACAGTCTCCGACGGTAAGGTCTCAACAAGCACGGGGCTAACACGAAAATTACTCACAAAAAGGTCGTGTGTGACCGACGTCAAGCAGTTGTCCTTCGAGCACTACTGTCACACTTTTAGGTCACTAGGACTACCCCTAACCCAATTTCTTCCTCAGGTACCTCCAAAAGAACCCTTCTACGGTGTGGGCGACCGCCCTTATACCTATAATAGCACTCAAGATCACTATGTTCACAATCGGTTTCCCTCTTCAATTCCTATTATTCCCCCTACCTCGACTTTCAACTCTGAACTTCCTCCTCAAGTGCCACCATGGCCAACGAGTCTAGTGCGCGAAATACTGCGCCAGGTCTACTGAAACCTCACTCCAAACTACACATTAGAGTCTTCAACGTACGCATCCTATGTTAAATCGGCTTGCAGGTCTCCTTGGCCAAGACCTTAGAATCTCGTACGATTGATGTATGCTGTGTCTCCGAAACACGCATACAAGATCCTAGTGTGGTCATTCACTTGACCTCACCTCGCCAAAATGGGGACCCGACGAGATACACCCTTCGTCCATTGGACTATCAGCATACAGACCAATCATAGAATATAATACATAACATTGGTCAACTATCTCCGTATATCGCTATCATTTATTTTTCAGGTGCATCGTGGCATTGTGTATGTTGATGAGTGCAATCTTCATCTGCGTCACGTAAAGATAACTTGGCCACCTGGTTTTAAACCAAAAGCTCATTTACCTCGAAGTTCCCTATCAGCTGACTCTGTTGCAAATCAAATCCCTCGTCCTGCAACAATCCATCATGCATCATCAAATATTCCTACTCGTACTGCTTTAAGCGAACTTGCAAAAATGCATGCCAGATTACATTCTACAAACAGAGTATCAAATCATCGCAATTTCCTACCAGATATGGCTGGTCGACGTGTTTCAATCGAATTTGTTCCTTCTTTTAAATCAAGTACATCAGACAGTCGACAAATCGATGATTCAAGCAATCAAGATGAATGTAATGCTCTTGAAGGAACTGATGACGTTCAACTCTCCTGTCCTACAATAGATAAGCATCAAAGACTAGTCGATGTAGATAGTAGAAATGGTCTCATACCACGTGAATTACATTCGAAATTTGATGTAGAAAATCCTATGAGTTGGTCGCTGGATGATGAAGCTGCTTGCTTCAATACAGAAGCTTTTGCATCTACATACAATGAGAATCATGAAGGTGACCCGTGTGAATTAGTTAATGATGATTGGACACCGGAAGAAGACAGGCAGTTATTGGAATTTTGTAAAGCTAAAGGACGTTACAGCTCTCAAATGTTTACAGACTTAGCTAAAATATGGGAACCCAAACCATATGTTTACTCTGCACAACGAAATCCACTGGAATTAGAAGAACGTTTTAAACATCTCATGCGTATCACATTGAGAGAAGCTTATGATCCAGAGTTATTTCAAACGCCGTATAGAGACGAATCTTCATGTGAAGATGACTAATCATAATTTGACCTTATTTATTTGTTCTCCCATATTCACAGAATAAGTTAACGCGCATGAATCAAGTCTTTCATTTGTATAAATTTGTACAATATTACATAGATTTCTTATTAATTATCAACATATATTTATCTTCTCACAGCTCATTCTTCAAACTTTATAAAATATATGTTAGCGTTGCAAATTTTTGAAGTCACATATTTTGTATATGCTTTCAAAGTTCTTTATGAGATAACCCTTAAAAATTGTTCTAACTTGTGTATAGTGCATAGATCCGGTGATAAGTAACAGATTCGTTTAACTTTATGGAATCGGTTAGATTATGTTAATGGGGATGGATATCCCATTGACTTTACAGCAAGGGAAACCAATAAATAAGAACTTTCGTTTAAATTTGATCGAACAGTTTCACAGTATTTGGGCGCCGAGTTAATGTGAGACATTAAGGAGGAAGAATGTATTCGTAAAATCTCAGCGAATCAATTCGCCTCGCAATCTGGTCCAAGCCTTTTCAAGGAAACAATCAAATTTATCGAATATAAATAGGTACATGGTTCTCCGGTTCACTGTATACTGAATAGGTCATCCAATCAACGTTAACAATGTTTAAAGTAGGTATTTACATTAGTGTGAAGCGGGGTTGAGCTGTACTGTCTGGGTCGTCACGTGGAAGTCCGGATGGTGTCTGGTTCTGTAGAATTACCCTGGCCCACAAGGGTATATTATATGGCTGAATAGCCCCCAAATGCCCTAGTACGACCGAGAGTGGGGAGAGTCCGCTCTCCCTCTCGAAAGGCTTTCACATGGCCACGCGTATATAGCCTATGCCAGAGACGTTCTACTCACTATCTTCTCGTGGCAGGGGTGTTTACGAAGTTGAGGACGAAAAGCGGATATCCGGAGCTTCAGGCCGAAGGCTCCGGGTATGGCCCCCCAAGAAAACCACCTGCTTCGGTTTAAGCACCCGGGCAGTATCACAGCCCTCACACATATCAGATGAGATCTGTGTGGCGCATATGTATTTGGTGCCTCCTTGTACCAATATCTGTTAAAATAAAAATTTACATCATTGTGTAAGAGACATGTGGTGTGACCTGATTCTATCGAGTGTAATGCTATCGCTGATTTGTCCTTTAGTTTTCTTACATCAAGTGAGGATTTAGGAATGTGCTTTGAGCATAGTTTGTGCTCCTCCACTCTTATATTCAGTTTTCTTGACGTTTCACCGACATTGCATTGCACTTACTACATTTGATTTCATAAACACAATCCTATTGTTCCTCCTTGTGTATTGAATCTTTGATTCTTACTAGTTTTGATCTTCGAGTTTTGTTTGTTCGAAAGAAAACTCTGATATTTTAAAGAGTTAGGGTCCTTCTGAAATGCCTTTACGAAATGTATCACCACTGCGTTGATCCATCCTAGTTTTCGTAATATTCACCGACCAAAGACAGTATAGTGGATGAAATTCCTCACTTACGTATACACACAATATGTTATCTTAACACTCTTCGTTTCACACCACATGTCCCCTACACACTAATGTAAATACCTACTTTAAACATTGTTAACGTTGATTGGATGACCTATTCAGTATACAGTGAACCGGAGAACCATGTACCTATTTATATTCGATAATTTTGATTGTTTCCTTGAAAAGACTTGGACCAGATTGCCAGGCGAGACGTTGGATTTACTTCGAATTCATTCGCTGAGACTTTACGAATACATTCTTCCTCTTCAAGGTAAATCAGTACCTAATCTACCGTAAATCAGTGTTTTTGCGAATCGGTATCCTGGTTGATAACACTTCGGGTGTTTAATTCGATGGTAATGAATTTCACGTAAAATTCTGCTAACGATTTCTAAATAGTTTGCTATGCAACATCAGTTACAAAGGTATTATTATTATTCTGTCATCTAACTTCATCGTTCGGGTTAAACAACAAGCGAACATCAACCATGGATCAGGAACGATTATGATACCGTTTCAATAAGCAAATGGATTCAAACTGACAGCTAATTTTGGTGGCATGTCTTCGGAATCTTTATGTTCGCAAGACTAATCACAAATCCTCTCGACATTACAGAAAACTTAATAATACTAGATTACTTCTACACAAATAGTAATCAATGGTTTTGGAGATCACATTAATTCGCTATTCATTTAAGCCATTCATACGACATACACGAGTAAAGGTTTCTAACGAAGTACATTTCTACTTATTCCAGTATGACAGGCTCATCAATATTGCATATTGTAGTCCAGAATCCAACATTTTTAGTAAGACAAGTGATTGTGGTTCTGCAACAACACCAAAAAACTTTATCATTCAATTATCTCTCTCATTTTTAACAATGATGATACCCGAGAATTACCGCTCCTCTACACAACCAAAAACTTGATCCTTATCCGACCATCAACCCTCTTCCCCTTCATATTAATTTTCTGTTGCTGAGATTATCTCCACTAATTAATCGTGGGATCAATAGTAACATTACAAACCTACCGAACAGCACTCCTAGTCTCAGATAAGCAACTGTATATCGTTACCTGTAACGCTTGATTATATCTCAAACAAAATAATTTTGGGAGTAAAATTCCATGCAATCAATGTTTTCTGCCCTAGAAATTCGGCAGTCCTGTTTATCTCATTCATAAACAAACATCTTAGGAGCACCTAGTTGATGGCCATCTGACTCCCTCTCATCCTTATTTGTATTCATACTGGTTACTCGAGATGTGGATCGGCGGTTCAACTATACGACTACGACTAAGTCTCGTGTTGATTATTCTAATATTCGTGACAAATTCATACCTCGATTACTGGCCAATAACCGCAAGTAGAACCAAACTATTCTTGTCTAGATAACTGTTATGATAATATATTTTTCCCTTAATACTGAGAACACATCTCATTTCCGTGCGTGATGATGTTAACTGAATCTGTTTGTCAAAAGCTTTAAATATTTCGATTCTCCACACTTTACAGACGCCCATCTGAAGCCGTGTTTCCTGACTATGATTTCCATTCTATAGAGTGCTGGAGTAATAACCTATGGCCCTGTGGATCCATTACTTTGCTTCTCCTACTTATAATAGACTGTGTAGATTTATAAGGATGACCAGTGGAATTCAGTGAACATGTCTGAGTGCTTAGTGACACCCGAAAGAGTATGGTCTTGCATAGTCTAACTACATTCACTTGGAAAGTAATGTTTTTGTAGTTAAAATTATCTGTTTTATATAACATTGTGAAAGAAAATAAGTGAGTTTGTCAATATTCACAAAATAGTAAACAGTACATTTGGATTCATAATTAGTGACTTTCTTATTTACCACGAAATCCTCCACCACGACCAGGACCACCAGGTACACTCCCGCCACGCCCTGCTCCTCCACGACCTCGAGTATTAGGAGCATTACCACCCCGACCTAAAGTGAAGTAAGAATTAACACAGAATATTCGTAACAAAGGTTTGAAAGTCTCAAGGAACTAAATATCCTAATTAGGATAGAGGGTCAAATATATTTTTAAACATATTACTCCTGGATTACATTTATACGGGTACAAATTTTTTGAGCTGTAAATTAAGTTTCTACAGAGTGCTTTAAGTAATTTATGCAATGAATATCAACTTCTAAATATCTGAAGTATGAAAAAGTAATTATCTATCACTCTGAACTGAACAGGTTTAATTCAGTCCATTACAATGAACCAATTATTTTTTGTCGAGTCTGCAGAAGCATGACTATCTACGTATGTTGCTCAAAAAAGTAACATTAGAAACTTCTTATTCCATTGGGGGATTGGTTTAATGGTTGTGAAGTTTAGTGACTGCGGAAAAACTATCAAGACACAAACTACCTGTCGACTGTGTTTGCAGTCTTATCACCACTGGTTCATACTCTAGTGAATTAGCTACTGCCAAGTACAGATCGATACTACGTAGTTGCTGAAATCGAAGTATATGGGTGGGGGTTAAAAGTGACCTAGTTTTTAAAAATTAAAAACCCTAGCCGCCGGTCTAATCATGCTGCACAATGTATAAAACTTAAAGTGCCTTCTGTTTGTTTTGATTTACCGAAAGTTTATTTGATTGCTAGACAGTAATACTGACGGCTTCAGGGAACTTTTAGGCATTGTTTATCCTGTTTAAAGTCTGAATGTCTCCACTGCTTCCATCTATAGAATTTCTAGTTAAAACCGAGACTTCATATTAACCAGTTGTAGGAAAATGCACAATAGTTTATTTACTTTTCAATACCGATTACCGAATAATAAAATACTATGTCTGCGTTTTACAATTAAAGCGCATTTACAGTGCTTTATCAAATCGACCTTTAGGCAGTTTTGGAAGCCCGACTATCGATTCTCCTAGAGCACGTGCATGGACTGCGATCATGTCGTATTGAGAGCAGACACACGTTATCAACATTGGAGCTGTCACAGATATGGTTTGGCCAAAGTTGTCGCACCACGGAACGAAAAGATGAAAATAACCCGAGGTTAAAATAATATAGTAGCAATGATAGAAAGATCAAAACTTGGGAATATTGTTTGAAAAGATAGAGTGGAAAGGTCTATGTGAAGTAATGATAATATTCAAGCCCAAGAGAAGAGTGAATGCTGTCACTTAGTCTCCAGTCTCTGGTTACGGTAATAACACGGACACTAAGTAGTATACATGATTTAACGAAGCCCAGATCAACAATCAATAACTTCTGAGATTGGTCTGATTACCTCTAGCTGACTTCAAACCTACATGTGCACTTGAAATCACAGCTCATCGAAGTAGATGGGGGTTAGGCATATCTAGCATATGTTCTAACTACCTCACTTGAAGTTTGTAGAAAAAGCGAATTATTAAAGTGTAGACATTTTTGAAAATAATACAGTGCAATGAGACCATAATTTATGGACAACCTTTGAGAATGTCCACCTACATACTATGGCTACATGAGGGTTACAAACCAGTGTGTGGAATAAGGGTTAATATTTACAGCTGATAGTTAGACTTAGTGTTTTCATCACGAACTGACATCAGCTATAATGCCAAAACACTATTTAGTTGAGTGAATGAATAAATTACGCGCCGAAATTCAAGACCCGTTATCGTAAATCTGATTGATTCGTCCGTAAATTATAGTCTCGCCGATAGTGCTAATATGTTTTGCTATCGTATGTAGCCTCCCAGTAGCACCATATCAAAATAATCTTAACAGTGAACCCTTCAATATCTAATTTAATACCCTTCGGATAAATATGTACATTACAAGTCATTCACGTTTTAAAATACAATATTAGTGATATCTAGTTAATTCAAGCAAATAAACGACAAGAAGCAGTTAAGGGAAAAAGACCAAGCAAGCTGAAGAAAACATAAATATCAGCTATAGGATGTTGGCTAACGAGACCACAATTATGAATGTAAATACATGGACATAAGAATACTTTGGAGGAAGATATTGTTTAACGAGAATACCAAAACTGAATTATATTACCTCTAGCCTTATTTCTATGAAAACTCCCACGCCCAGTGTCTGCAGACTGAGAGCGATTACGCATTTTGGCTAGCTGCAAGTCCTCTTTAACCTTATCGATTACGTCGTCTGGAATCCGTAAATATTTTATTATGCTTCCACGAATATAACACTCTGGCATTTTCCAGAAGCGATCCCCATCCTATGAAACATAAACTCAGCATATATATAGGATTTACTCGAGATGTACAAATAACTTCTTTAAGATGAATGTTCATCCAGTCATCGCAAGCAACAAGGTGACCGTTATAAGTTTCACCACTTTTCAACTCAACAAGCTGAAAATAATTTAACGACTGCAAATGAAATTACCATAGGAAGATTCGTTGCAGCCTTGAGGAGTGTCACGGGTAACTAAAAAAATTAACGAAATAAAAAAACACAAACCATTCCGAAATACAATTAAGCGCCCGATAATTAAGCTAGCGCAAGGTCATCTCATCTTCAATGACCATTATCCAACATCGATATTATGGGTAAGCACAAGCTTTGCATCTCTATATAAGCATAGCTTTGTTGCAAAGAAAATTCGATATTTTTCGAAAGTGTACTGACAGAGGAAAAAGAAAAACATTTCTTCAATAAATCAAGAACCATAATGTAAATCCGAAGTTTTTATGGAGGCGCGACCGGTAAGTGAACGTGTCGCAATATGGCTATCTTCAACATAATTTTTCCTGTGTAATTCCATTTTGAGTAGTCAAAGTGCGTTGGTGAATATGTGTGTGGATAACCAAGAAGTTTAAATGGTCCAAATGGTTGTACAAGAATATAAGTAGTTTCATAGCAATGCGGCGCCGATGCGTCTAGGTACGGACTGCAGTATATTTAACAAGCAAGTGCAAAGATGCAGTTAGTAGAAAGGAAATGCTGTTCTGAATTCTTACGAATATACTGAGTTTTCTCCTGAAGGACTCCTGTGACGGCGCTTATACAACCTCGACCATCTGTGAGTTCCAGAGTTCGACCAATTGCAAAAGATAGAAGGTATTCCCACTACACAGTTTGTCATGTGTCGAAAGTGAGCTTAAGTAAGTACTTCTTGGGATAACCAGGAGTGCTTAGGATCCTATTAGTCATTAGAGTATCACTTCTCAGTGGCCTGTACTGTGTGGGTAGATATCAAGTTATTGAAGGTGCGCTCTATAACTAAGACACCGAAATCTGTTGCAAATTGGGACATCTCTAAAGGGGATTACCCAAAGTGTATGTATAGTTCATAACATTTCTCAAATGGAGTATTTCATACCTTCAGGTGTTGAAAGTCTGTAGTTAACTACCCAAACTTGAAGTCCAGTCAGATCCTCTTGAAGTATCAGCTCATTATTCTGGTTGGGACCTTCTCTCTAAAGTTTCACATCGCCGGTGAAAATTATTACAACAGGCGATTCCTGTTGATGAGTGTAATTTATATAAATTAAAAAGTTTTTGGTACTGAACCTTGGAGGACTTTACGTTCTGTAGATTGAGAAGAAACAAAGTTCACTCTTACTTTCAGACTCAACAAGTTCGATATGAATTAAACCAATCCATCAGTTGTGGCTTGATAACTAACAACTTAAGTTTGTTTATGAGTCATGAATGTTTGACTCTACCAAAGACTTTAAAGAAGTCAAGGTATATCACATCCGCTCTACCCTTTCAATTGATGGTGGCTGTCCAATTATTTGTAATAAATTAGGTTGGTTGGTTAAGAGTTGACTGCAAACATTTTATTGATATTAAAACATAGCTTAAGCATCCATTTTCTCCCTTATTTTGTATAGGCATTATATTTTCTATTATCTTATAGTTGAAAAGCTTTGCGGATTTGAAGAAAGGTAACCACGTACCTCATCCGCTCTGTTCCATGATCAAAGCAATGACCTATTCACTACAAGTCTGGGTTCTTCTACCGATAAAACGAGGGATATTTACCACCCCGTTCAGCAGACTGATGATGCAGAAGTAAACGTCATTGAAGCTGTGTTGTGGAGGGAGCGAAAAGAAATTTGCCTAATACAAGTAGTTACGTAAACCATCCTATGTCAAAGATCCAATTACTTTTCAGCGTATTGAAAGAAGCACTACCAGCCGATTGCTCAAAAAGACATTGAGCCGGCTTTATTTCAAAATTTTTGTGATATATTCCAGCATACATTTGTCTGGGACCGCCGCATGACTAAGGGAACATGAAAATATCATACTTAGGGATGTAGCCACGATCGAATCCGTTTCTCTCAGTGTAGCAGGGTGAGCGGATTCCGGGATAGAGGGATTGTCCCTAACCAGATGCATCGGTTTTGACAAGGTTATCTAGTGTTCAGTTTGAATGTCGATAATTCTGTGGATAGAGCTCTCGGTGATATGGTTTTAAGAAGACCTTATTTTGGTCGATTCTAAAACTCGTTCGGACCATTTGATGTATTTAGAGTACTAAGCAATTTCGAAACCTAGAAAAACAGCTAGATAACATTGTTTGATATCCTTTTTATGAAGATATGTAATACAGTATCTTATAATGGCATCAGGAAATAATATAAGTTTTGTATACGTGGTAAAATAGAAACTGAATCGATTGAGAAGTTTCTTCTAACAAAACAAAAAAACAACTTAATTTCGCAAGTTGTCTTCTTGATATAAGCTCAGTTTCGAGCTGATTTAGGAATTAGCTGCAGTTCTTTCACTAACACGTCGTGGATAAGAATTGTATTCTCCTAGTGTAGCGACCGAACAGCCGATATTCGCTTGGAACAACGGACTGACGGACCCAAAATTTATTTGATTAGACCAGACCACGTTCCTCTGTATAGCGAACAACGCGTTTTTGAGATACTCGTATTATATTATATCAAAACACAAGTTGTATGCTCAATATAAACGGTTCTAATTAAGAAAACAGAACAAATTACATCAAAAATACAAAATACCTCAAACGGTAGAGCCTGTGCTATGCAGTCAGAAGTTTCTCCAACGCAAAGTAGCGCGCTAAACAATAAAAGAAACAGTTAATACCAAAAGGTTCGATACCTGAGAATCAATACAAATATTCCCAACAAGATGAGATCAAATATCTATCTGCAGGGATTCCAACAATCCTCCCAAGCAGATAGTCAGAAGGTTAACAGTCACGCTCTGAACCACGCCGTGACTTTGAGCTTAGTCAAACACGACCTTACTGTCAATAGTCCGGCAACATGGAATAGAAAATTAGGTAACAAAAGATAAGTTTTTAATCAAACTCACATAATAAAGGCTCAAACGAGGAAGACTGAACAACAAAAGATGTGGTTAAATTAGATCCGAACAAAGGTTAAAATACACAACAGGGAGAAGGAAAAAATAAATGACACTACTGTCCAACAAAGAAGCTGCAGAGGGATTTTCATCGTTCTCTTTCCGTTACACTTAGTAATGGTTACTCTACCTTGAATATGTCACAGGTATTTGGAGTTTGACAACGCTTTTACCAGCAACACCTTCTAATATAATTTGTACCCACCGAGAGAAATCAAAAGACAGAGTCGAGGAGATCGGAAGAGTGTATTTGGCGATTACCAATATATCGGGATTCTCTGATCTTATCTGGCTAGCGATTGCGGTAGATATTGAGCACAGCGTTACCACACGTGATCTGGTGCGGATGCCTGACCGAGCGCCTTCAGCTAGATGAGTCCACTAAAACATATGGTCAGCATCCAATGTCGAAAACTTACAGAGCTATTTATTTTGGGGATTTATTTACCGCTACAAGGGATTATGTCGAGTCAGTATCATATTTGTGACTCCTGCTCTCAGTGATGTACACGAGTTTTCAATTAGATCCTCTTTTTAGCACTGATGAGCAAGTATAATTTTATGAGGTCAAACTGGACATTGAATCTAATAGTTATCACTTGATCTTTGAATTTAGCCAAGTCCAGCTGTTACTGAAACTTTAACGTTTCCCTCCTCCACGTCTTTTTCAGTTCTCCTAATATTGACAAAACGTCAAATGTTTGGACCCTAGGAAATATTTAATAATGTGAGGTCTACGATTTTATGTCCCAGAATACTGTCCCGGATAACCTGCTCTTTGTTTAGTTGCTCACCTATCCACATGAATGTATGAGAAGGAAATGTTTCATTATTCATTGCTGTATTGAATAACGTAAGTAAAAGTGTAAATCACAAAAGACCTCACAACGTCTTCCTTGAAATGCGCAGCACAATAAGAACCAAAACGATGACAATAAAAACTATAAAACATCGAGTAAACAAATTTAGTTTAGAACACGGTTCTTCATCCACACGTGTTGATCTAATGCCTTTAAGTCAATAATGAGCCCCAAACGTATTAAGTGCAAAAATATTTTCTTGCCATTCAGGGGATATATTTATGTCTACGATTATTTTATCAGTTCTACCAACTTAAGCGCAGTCAGTCAACCATACTGAATCAAAAGAGCAACTGCCAATTTACAGTTATTTAAACAAAAACTATGACAGTATTATATAACACAAGTGGTAATACCACTATAAGTAAAAATTGAATAAAATAAATATGGAACACAGAAATTAGGTGATTGTGAAGAGTGACTTTACATTCAGAGTGGAATAAAGGTTCTTATCATATAGGATGATTGCAAGAGGATTTCAAAACATTCACGCATCTATGAAGGGTCCTACAAATTCTCTGATCATCAAAGACCTGTAATCTTACCGAAACAAGAAATAGAAAGTGCAAAGAACCCATTTGGCATATGTTAGCCCGACCTGAAGATATTGCATATTGAAAATAGGATAAATTGCAACAATTTCATAGGTAATTACTTATAATGATTCCGTGTTAAAGCACGGCATCACTATAGTAGATGTTACCAATGACGTTGAAATAGTATTTAGGTCACTGTTTTTGTAAAAAGCTACGTAAACGTGAATAAATATTGAGATGAATACTACGATGGAATCAGTAGAAATCCTGCGAACATTTTAACTAATTGACAAACAAATAAGACAATAAATATAATGTAGATCAATAGTCAAACTAGGAACTAATTTGCAAGGTAAAATTAAAACCGAGTACCAAGAATTTGAAATTTGAAAAACGACTTGCACGACCATAGATTATAACATAGTACAGGTAAAACAATCTTTTTATGAAAGGGTTTCTCAATAATTATAGCAACTAGCGTTTGTATGTACATATCAAGCGTTATATTATGTAATATGCATAATGCATTGTATACACATACATAATATGTAGTACAATATAATGATTGAGATACTTGGTTGAGAAACACCATACTTTTTCATAGTAGTTGCCTTTTATAGCATTTAAATGTAATATATTTTAACCACAAATTATTCCATATCACATTTCTGTGAATTAATGTTGGCATATTATGATAATCAGGAGTATTTGAATTATAGTATGAACTAAGAATTCCAGGAATAACGTGATCAGATCAAGAAGTAATAGATAACCACA